TAAAACATTTAAGGGCATCAGATTTTTCATTAATCAGAAAAGTATATCCCAGTCTAGAGAAATCATCGATAAAGTTAACAAAATACTTGTTTCCACATATGGTTTTGACTGGAAAAGGACCACAAATGTCAGTGTGTATGATTTCAAGCAATCCTTTGCTTCTTTTGGCATCTAGTTTTCTAAAGTTTGTCATTTTTCCTTTCAAACAATCAACACATTCTGTTACAGTGGCAGAATCTAGTTTGGGAATTAGTTCAGCTTTGCAAAGTTGAAGAATCCTTTCTTTTGAGATGTGCCCTAGCCTCTTATGCCAAAGAATATAAGAGGTGTCAGTTCCTAGCATTCTTTTGAAACCAACATTCAAAATCGAGTGATTACTTGACTCTATTGAACATTCTAAACTCCACAGATTGTCAAAAAGAAGGGCAGTACCTAAAACAGAATCCAGATAGTTCTTTTTAAAGATTTTCAAACACTCATCATCAGCAAAGAAAGCAAAACCGTCTTTGACAATTTTAGAGGCAGAAATTAAGTTTCTTCTCATCTTTGGCACATAGAGCACATCTTTTAATTTTAAAACAAAACCAGAAGTTAACTTTAAATTCACAATCCCTATCGAATGAACTGCAACCCTTGTCCCTTCCCCTACATAAACATTGTATAAAGTATCATCAACTTCCTTTTGTTTTTGAAAACCATTTAAAGAGTTAGTTATATGTACTGAGCATCCAGTGTCAAACCACCAAGAATCAACAGGTACTTCACAAAGGTTTGATTCAATACAGACAAGTACTTGTTCCTTTTCTTTACTCCTCACATAATCTTTGAAAATTTCACAGTTGACTTTTAAATGCCCTTTAGTCTTGCACCAAAAACATTTTAGTTTAGACACATCTTTAGGTCTAGGTTTAAAGTTGATAGATTTTCTAGGGGAGTTATTTACTTTAGCAGACATATTGAATTTGTTAGAATTCTTAGTGAATTTAGAATTCTTACCAGGACCTGAAGAGCTGCCATTATTGAATGTTCTCTTCTCTCGACCAGATTGCACATAATTTGCTTCTTCGATCTCCTTGCCTTTCTCTTGCTTCTGCCGAGTTTCCTCTTTCACACATTGTGCAATCAATTCATCTATGCCCAAGTTCTTGTCCTGAGTGTTGTAAGAGACCTTTAACTGATTATATTTGGTAGGGAGCGCTTGAAGGATCATGAATACAAGCTGCTTTTCACCAATGTTTATGTCCATAGAGTTCAGCTTCTCGGCAGCATCTGACATTTTCATTATATGGTCCCTTATTGAACCAGTACCTTCAATCTTGTATTGAGTCAACACAGACATATACTGGCTTACTTCTGCCTTCTCGGACTCCTTAAATTTCATTTCAATTGCAGCCAAATATTCCACAGCAAGCTCTGGTTTCTTAATTCCCCCTCTGATAGTGTCAGTCATTCCAGCTTCTATGATGGAATTAGCTCTTGACCATCTCTCAAAATCTGACTTCTCAGCTCTGGTGCTTTGATTACTCATAACAGGCTTGGGATTTTCAATTGCTATATCAAACTCATTGAGAGTCAATAGCAAGTTGATATCCCTCCTCCACTTCTTGTAATTACCACCACCAGTAAGGATCAGAATATTTGCTAAGTTTAAGGTCTTCATTGATATTGCAGACATCGATGAACCTGAAATCACCATATGAACTTCAAAGTTCTGATTTCGTTTCACAGTCTATTGCACATCAAAGCTTTATAACCAATATCCATATATACAATCTTAACAACAACCAGCTGATAGGCGCATATAGGATTATTGAATTCAGAATAGATCATAAACTGATCACCATATATTCAGAACCAACCATCACACTGATTTGTTCCATACATCTCAGTTTATCCAGATATAATCATCTTACGAATGACTTCTTTCATTATACATATCATTAAGATGCATTATCTTAAGAAACTAAATCATATGCTAAGAATGACTACTTTCTTGTTCATAAAAAATTATTATACAAATCTCTTATACAAGATTCTTAGATATTCATATTTCTGATCCGAGTTTTGAAGATTACATACCTTTTAAAGAGACAACCATCAACACATAGCAGCGGAAACAATTTTGTACAGGTATTGAACACTCAATAACAAGATTTGATTTACTCGGATTGCAAATAAATGGGTCAGAATGAGAGGGAAGAGTGAGAGTCCTCTTTGACAAAAGAACAAAACTCAGAAAATCCCAAACGGAAAATCGCATCGATTTCGAATACCAACAGTCATCTTAAACTAACCTAATTTTATTAAAACGCACTGTTTTAAGGAAAAGTTGTTTTGAGATTTAAAACCGGTTTCGAAACCTGATCATGGTGATTTTCATTGACCCGTGCTTGATTGATTTTAAGAACTTAAATCTAAGGCTCTGATACCACATGTTAGATTGACATAGCCAAGATCCAGATTAAAGCCACAATAAACACAATCAAGAAAACACAAAACTGTTTAGACATGAACAATCATATTCACACTAACCTGATGAACCTCCATTGGAGAATGCCATTGCAGTAGATGTCCAGATTTTGTATGCTGCTACTCTTCTCCTCTCTGGTAGAACTCTTAATGCTCTAACTAAGAATAGGGCTTAGTTCTTTTCTGAGCGTGTGTTCCCGAGAGCAGAGATTACAACATATATATATACATATACCTCTCCTAATCCAATGAGGATTTCCTATTACAATCCACTTAGGAAACAACTCATGTTTCCTAGTTTATATCAGTTCTTCTCCATGACAGATTCCTCTATCAACAAGAACTTACATTCATCTTCCTATAAGGCTTTCTTATATTAATCGGACCAAATAGCTGATGCTAGTTCACCAAAATACTCATGTTCATATTCCTACACCGCAATGCTCGAAGAAAACGTGAAGTAGTCAACAGCAAGGGGCTCATCTCCTCCATCAGCCTGCATCATAATAACAATGTTGAGGGGGAAAGAAAGAAACCGAAAAGAAGCATCAATCACTTCGAGTCATTTTTCAAAGAAAAAGAGATGCACAAAGTATGTCTAACATAAGAGATTTCTCCATTTCGTTACCACAACATTACTTGAACCAGGCTACGACATTAAGCACGGCATGAATCCTATACGACGAATATTAAGTAACTCCCTGAGTTCCTATAGCTTTGAAGACAAATATCTTCTTTTTCGCAATTGTTCTGAATTCATCGAAAGCACAGACAAACTAATTTCTTTTCTTTTAACCTCTATCTGCATGGGAATCGAATATCAACACTACCGCTTCCCATAAACCCTAATCGAAAATAGCAAACTGATAATGCGTTCTTTAACAACTGATCACATAATTCGATTCAGAATAACTTCCGTGGGAGTATAGAATCCGCGGCCCATTTGAATGAGAAGCCGAGTATACCCTCTCTTTGACAACTCTTGTTCAACCTCATGCGTATCCATCGTTCGAACAAGAGCATCAAAACTAGTAGTTCCAACAGTTACAAAAACTGTCTTCTTAGCATTCACATTAACCTCACTATCTCCCATCTAATTAATCACTCAAGTTTCCGAAAAGCACGAATTGCTTAACCCTACAGCCATTCACAAGCAGTAAGAAACAGTATCACCATAAAACAATTAAGTAACAACTAGGAATTATGAGAACAAACTATTTTCCAGGAAAATAAAATTACATTTGTAACATTGGTAAACTAAAAATTTGTATGAAAGTCCCAACTTTAAACAAAGAGCGTCAAAATAATAGTGAAAATGCACTTCTTAATCATAACTAAATATAAAATTGAAACGGATAACACAAACTGAAAGAAACTGAGAGAAATCTGCCTTGATATCGAGAGAGGCTGCAAATTGACCATGGAAACAGCAGGAAAAATGGAAGAAATTAGGAAAAACTCACAAGAAAAACAGTAAGAAATGCACCTAACATCATAAAAAAAATTAATAAAATTGAAACAGACAACACATACTGAAAGAAACTAAGCTAAATTTACCTTGATATCGAGCCTGAGAAGCTTCAAATTCACCACGGAAACAGCCGAAAAATGAAAGAAATTAGTAAAAACTCACAATAAAAACAGTAAAAACTCATCAGTTTGGGCTTGGGCCTCATCGTGGTCCAACCATCAACCCTAAACCTCATCACCCTTTAATTTATGATAATTTATCCAATTTGTAACATGAACTTTTGATATATTTGAGTCTCGAAGAGTCAAGGGAAATTTACCTTTTGGAATTCTGCCTTTGAGAAACTTCAAGCCTGAATTCAACAATTTCTGTTTTTGATAATAACGGAGAAACTCAGCCATAAACTTACACCTACGTGCATGGATGCCACTTTACTTTTTATCTATACATGCATGCATTGTAGCACCTCAAACTGTTGTCACAAAGTTCTAATACAACTACTGCATGAAAAAATGTACCAAAATGATCAGGAAATTAAGCTAGAAAAAGAATATTGATGGTAACTTTATATTTTGATCAGGATATAATCTCAAGGAGTTGAACCCTCAGTATCAATAAGATCAAGGGAGATTTAACGAAACACTCTCAGTACTGTTCACTTTTAACATTTTTATTATAAAAAGTTACTCTTGATACTATTCACTTACAACACATTTTTGTCATTTTGATTAAAACTCAAAGTTTTCAAGCAATTTTCATTAGTTTTCCTTAAGATCAATGGTAAACACATATTTTGAGTACTTTAAAAATAAATTACATTTTCAATAAATTGAAAATAATTTGGTCCACCATGAATCAAAGATTATTGTTTGTTGATTTGAGACGAAATATATAAATGAGAAGGTAGATACTTTTAATTATTAATTTTGGAAGAAATATTACAAATTGATACATGAGTTGTGCAAGTTAATAGTCAAAGCATTAATAGAATGCATGCAGATAACAGAGTCAAGAGTGACCAATGCCTTGTAGCACCATACAACTTTGAATTCATAAGCGTTTATGCATGTCCATTGTTAATAATGCCTCCACCAATACCACCTCCGCTGCCCCCGCCAAATCCTCCTCCTCCTCCACCTCCAACACCACCAGCGCCACCACCAAATCCTCCACCAACACCACCACCAAATCCACCCCCAACTCCACCACCCCCACCCCCACCAAAACCTCCTCCACCGACAGCACCACCACCACCAATGCCCCCACCTACACCACCGCCAAAGCCCCCACCAGCACCACCTGCACCACCGCCAAAGCCCCCACCACCACCACCACCAATGCCCCCACCACCACCACCGCCAAAGCCCCCACCAGCACCAACACCGCCACCTGCACCACCACCAATACCACCGCCACCAATGCTGCCACCGGGACCACCACCAATGCCGCCACCGGCACCACCACCACCAATGCCTCCACCGGCACCACCACCGCCAATGCCTCCACCTGCACCACCACCAATACTACCACCGGCACCACCACCACCACCAATGCCTCCACCTGCACCACTACCACCGCCAATACCACCACCTGCACCACCACCAATACCACCACCTGCACCACTACCGCCACCAACACCCCCTCCTTTGCCAATGCCGCCACCAACACTGCCTCCTTTGTCAATGCCACCACCAACACCCCCTCCTTTGCCAATGCCGCCACCAACACCCCCACCTTTTCCAATGCCGCTACCAGCGCCCTCTCCTTTGCCAATGCCACCACCAACGCCCCCTCCTTTGCCAATGTCGCCACCGACACCCCCACCTTTTCCAATGCCGCCACCGACACCCCCACCTTTTCCAACGCCGCCACCAACGCCCCCTCCTTTACCAATGCTACCACCAACACCCCCACCTTTTCCAATGCCGCCACCAACGCCCCCTCCTTTGCCAATACCTCCACCACCTTCATGGCCTTTTCCTATTCCTCCTCCAGCACCAATTCCTTTACCAATGCCTCCCCCAATTCCACCTCCACCATGACTACCGCCTTGATGGTGCTTGTTCTCTTTTTTATTCTTATGGTGGCTTCCACCACCACCAATTCCACTACCAGCCCCTCCACCTTTTCCATCACAGTCAGGCTTCCCAAAATCAACTGCATTGGCAGGTTTTCCAGAAGTACCATAACTATAACTATATGATCCCTTCCCTCCAAAACTAAAACCGAACCCTTTGCCCTCTCCTCCAAACCCACCACCGCCATTAATCCCACCCGGAATATTGGGATTTCCTGCAGCCGGCCCATCAAAGAACCGCCCTGGATTTTTCACTAACTTATTTCCGTCATCACTACCCTTCTCCGCATGAGCATGATCATCCATCTTCCTTATTCCCCTCACACACGACTCAGACATTAAGCTCATCGCCGCCGCCACCCACAAAACCACCTTCCCTGCCCCGAATATTGTAATTCCCATCTTCACTTAGCAAAAGAAAAACACCACCCTCACAACCCCAGTAGGATGATGATCGATGATGATGAATCTGATATATTACTCTTTATATAGAGGTAAAAAGCTTATTCGGCAACTACATTGCTACATAATAATTCGAGGATCTCTATTGTTTGATAGTTGGGAGTTGGGATGGTAGACGGCAGTAGTAGTAATGCAGTACGTAATTGCTCCGCCGCTACACTTTACAACACGGCCGGTGAGGGAGTGAGAGTTGAGTGAGTCCAGCTCGACTGCATGCTCCATTACGTGATTGGCTTAACTTTTATTTTTGCATTACGCATGGGACCCCGTGACTGGGTTTTATACCATACTGACCGGCGGACGACTGTCAAACGATAGAGACCTCGTGACTGGGTTTCCTACCTTCTTCTCTCTCCCATAAAAAAATGCTTCTCCCACTCAGTCGTTGTTTTCTTCCTCTCTTTCTCGAGAACCAAATTTCTTTCAATATATGGTTGGGCAGAATAATTTTCTACATGGGAATTAATTCACTATTGACCAACCAATTAAAAGAAGAGAAGGTATGAAAAAACCACATTAATCAAGCCACTTAGTTTGAGGGTTCCACCCCCATTCTCTCGGGTGGAAGACAGATAAAAGGTAAGTAGGGTTTGCCATAGCATTATTCGTCATCGAAGGTGTATCGACTGTCATACGCGTCAGTCTCGACCACTGTATAGCTGAAGCTATAAGTAACGGCATTTCTTGTTAAGATAACAAGATTCAAGCTTGCTTGTCGGACAAGCTTGTTTTCTGCTGCTATATGGTGCTATTTTATTTTCATTATCTATTTAATTATCATTTATCTAAAACGAAAATAGGAAACCTAGAGAATGATAACGAAAATGCTTTGTTTCCTTGTCACGCACAAAAACTGCAAACAATAAATGCATTACCATAATTATTAAAGTAGATTTTTAGTTTATAAGGACTCTATGGCAATATGCTTGCCTTGGAAATTAAAGGAATTTTAATCATATCATTTGAACAAGAAATGATCAACAAATATTTTGGGTTAGTGACAAGTCATATGAAATAATCAAATAAGAAAATGGAGATTTCGTAGTTTCCAATTGGCACAAATTTGTTATAAACTAACGCAAACAAGTCAGAACATACGTAAACTTGAATTTGTTATAAATAATTGGTTGAGGTGAAACAAGAAGATAAAAACAAAACAACAACAACAACAAAGATTTATCTCACTAAGTGAGATTGGTTGTATGAATTATAGAACACCACAACACTCAGTTTTGCGTCATATCTTTTGTTAGCTAGTTTTGCGTCATATCTTTTGTTAGCTCAAATTATTCTATTTATTTCCTTAAAAGTCTCTTTCCGAAACCAAAAAGATAGAAACCAAATGTATATAGTTAATTAGACTAAAGAAATTGAGTAATGAGTCATGTACAATAATTCTTACCCATGTCGTAGATTTTTAACTTATGTGCATAAGAGAGCACACATAAGTGATCATTGAAACAAGAATAAAATTTGAAGATGTCACTTGAGGTCATGAACTCCAACCGTTAGTTGAGATTCATTTCATGTATTTTGATTGTTGATATATATTTTAAGTTTTTGGTTGACAACCCTGTCACAAGATCATAAGACATTAAATATATTTGCAACTGACGATAAGAAGAATGAGCTTGTTAAAAAAACTCGTGCGGCATTGAATTTGCAGAATCGGATCGATCGGTTTGGACGGACTGGATTGGATCTCGATCAGTCCACGGTTCAAGAACTAACAATGGGCCGGGTAATGTCCACCATTGAGTGGCCCATAAATATTTGGGCGCACAAATATTCCCCGTCAATCTGTATTTACAGACCCATTCGGGTAACCCTAAACCTTTCCTTCTTCTAAATTCTAAGCCATCAGCCAAATTAGGGTTTTTCGTTCAGCCCTCCGTGCTCATCCCCCTTCCCTCTAATCTCTCTCAATTCTAAATTTGAATTCTTCGGAAACAAACAATCTACAAAAATTATATAACTTTCCAATTTCCCCACACAAAAATCCTCAATTTATTTGGCATTATTGGGTATTAGGGTTCGAGCTGCTGTGAAGCTACCGATTTTGTGCTCCAATGGACGACATGGAAGACGACCCAAGGTACCATCCGAAATCCTACTCTGCAAGCCACCATAACTCTTCTGGTCGCCGGAAAATCCATACCCGAAACAACCAATATTCTCGTCCGGTTCCCAACCGATACGCGGAGGATGACGACGACGAATTGGACGATTTTGACGAAGGAAATGGCCGGGAAGACCAATACAATGACGAGGAAGACGAGCACAGACATGGGTTTAATCGGAATTTTGACGCGGATGAAGATTTTGAAAGGCACCCAAAGAAGAGGAAGGTGAAGAATTTGGAATCAAGGTACGAATTTGCCCCTCGGGTGAGATTGCCAAACCGGGAACCAGGTTTTCGGGCTGAAGAGGAGTGGACGGAGCACGCGGTTTTTATGCTGTTGGAGGTTTGGGGTGATAGGTTTCTTCAGCTGGGGAGGAAGAGTTTGAGGTCTGATGATTGGAATGAGGTAGCATACAAAGTCTCAGAGGCGTCGAAGATTGAGAGGACCGAGACGCAATGTAAGTCGATGTTGGATATGCTTAAGAGGAAGTATAAGAAGGAGAAGGAGAAAATGGAAGAAATGGGGTTGAACTCTAGCAAATGGGCTTACTTTAAGAAGATGGAAATGTTAATGGCATCTTCGTCGAGGCAGGAAACTGGGCTTGCTTGTGGGGTTGATTCTGGGGAGTATGTGTTTATGAACACAAGGGTTTATTTGGAGCAGTCGAATGGGTTCGATGAGATGAGGGATAGTCCTGGTGAGTCAGAGACAGATGATGATGGTGATGAGAATGGGAATGATGATTTCGATGTGTTTCCACCAAGAATGGCTGGATGCGTGGAGAGGACGGGGATGAAGGGTCTTCGTATAGAGTGTTGGCGGATTCAATTCACAAGTTTGGGGAGATTTATGAGAAGATTGAGAGTAGTAAGAGGCAGCAGATGAGGGAATTGGAGAAGATGAGGAAAAATTTCAACAAGGAATTGGAGTTGCAGAAGAAGCAGATTCTTGAGAGGGCGCAGGTGGAAATTGCGAAAATTCAGGAGGCAGATGACGATGATGAGACAGATGTTTCTGTTGACGATCTCAGTGAATGATGCAGGTGAGGGTGTGTGGGGTATCTCCCTTTTGCTTCAACTTAGTTGGCATATTGAATTGCTTGCTACAATTGCATAACATTTGATATTTTGTTATTTCTTTAGATATAATTTTTGTGAGATTATTGTATTATGATATGCTAAGTTTGCTCTGATTGTATAATTTTGTGTATCTAACATTGTGTTGCTAGCCGACCCCACCTAGTTGGAAAAGGCTTTGTTGTTGTAACATTGTGTTGCTCGCTCCAAAGAATTAACGAATTGGTTTTACTCCTCCGTTGAGTTATGTGAATATATGTTGTTTCATGGCATTTTCTCTGTTGATTGAGTAGCTCTGTTTTGGAAAGCATCTGACTTACTTTGGCCCATTTTTTGTTTTTAATTACTAATGTTAGCATCAAATACATTAAAGGCATGGTCTTAATGTTCTGCCTTCGAAACCCAAAATCCTACAAACTATGGCTGTTGTGGTTATGCAGGGGCTAATGCATTGTGTTCTATGGCTTCAGTTATGTTTGAGATGCGTGATTTTAATGCATTTAAAGGGAAAGTTGTCTTGACCTTTTGCAATTAGAATTGATTGAAGAAGAAATGAAACATTGATTCGATAAATACTAAATGCAGACCAGACATGGGTACAAGGACAAGATACAATTTTGTTGCAGTCATATCGCACATTGTTAGAGATGAGGCTTTAGACTCTCAAACATTAGAACTTGCTAGCCTCATGTTTGAGAGCATTTGAGAACATTGTCAAGGTAAATTCCGTTTGTTTGCCAAAGCCTCGACATGACCAACATTGTTAGAACCGAGGCTTTAGACTGTCTATCATTCTGTTGGCTGTCTAGCTTAGCTAGAAAATCTCCGTAGGCCTGTTGTTGTACTCATGGCTATTCGTTTTCTTTAGCAAATACTACTTGCCTAATGCGCTTCTTCATTGTCCTGTTGTAGCAGAATGATCGAGAATACATTTGTATCATTTCTTTGTGTGTGATTTAGAACAAGATGTTGTTAACATAACTCTTCAAGGTCGAATGCTATGTTGACCGGATTTAAAAAGGCATCTTCTTGTTAATGAAATTTCTAAATTTGTCCTAATTTCTTGCCTCAGGACTTGTGATGATCGAGAAGGACGGGGACATAAATAACTGTTCTCAACTGTTTCGGAGATGAACTTATCCTCCCGGCTCAAGTAAAGAATGCGCTAACATCTTATAAAAACTTTATTATGTAATTTGATGGCACAGGAGATTTTGATTAACCTGCAAGACATTCGTCTGTAATCTGTTACTGTAATATCTACTGTTATCCTTTAGTTTTATGAAATTATTTTTGTTTCGGTAATATGTTGCGAAATTTGATTATAATTAAAATTTTCTGTGAAAAATGTTGTAAGCAAAACTAAGAAAAATCAATGGAAAATACTCACAGGTCCAAAACCGGGCTAGACCGGAGATCCGACAACTCAAACATCGCCGGAGTATTAAGTTTAAGAAGTTTATGGCAGAATTTTCTTCAATTTTTTTACAAACTTTCTTCTGGAAATAGCTCCTCCTTGATTGAAGGAGCTATCCACTGTATCTGAATATGTGTTGTCTCCCAAAGATCATCACCCTCCTTCGGTACTAAAATCTCCTTTTCCTTCATCTCCGTAATCAACTTTCTCAGCAACTCCGGCACAACTTCTGGCAGTTTTGATTCGCCATACGATCCCAAGTCCGCCTTCATACATGTGTCCATCCTTCTCAACACTCCTAACCAAAATGTCCGAAAGCCACTGCATTGCGAAATTGGTATCAGAAACTGCAAGTACACATCTGTCAGGATCTCCAATGCAATCTTTAAGGTCCCTTCCATGCCTCTCATCTCCTTCTCTGCATTCTCTCTTCGCGAGTACTCCAGCATCTTTTCGTGCAGATCATCCACCATCGCGAAGATAAGGAGGTTGAAACAGTTTATACAGTTGGTTGGTGTGAATTCTAGTTCCTCAGCAAGTTGGAAACTTTTTTGAAGAGACAAGACCGCATGGTTTCTTATTTCTTCTCGCCGAGCTAGGCTGGTCTTTCGGAATGCCTCCCCTAGCTTGACAAACAAATTCATGGTAAAATTGTTGGAGCCGAAACCTTTCGAGTCTTCTAAGGAGGAGGTACTCGTGCTGCTCGCGATGCTGTAATTGTTCCCAGGATCTGAGTAATGATTTCTGTACCATTGGATCAACAAATTTACAGAATCCGCTAATAGGTCAAGTATCTTCAAGTTCTTCTCCGACGGGCTGTTTTTTAGGGCAATGAAACCAAAAGCACAGTCAATGAAATAAGCATAATTTGTCCGTGATATATGGGTTCCATCGGACATCACCATGATCAGAGTCTCAACTCCCTGCTCATAGGTGTCAGGGTGTCGCCCGGAGACTGATAACAAGTGGAGAACTGACTTCCATCCGAGTTGGGTTTGCAAATTGGCAGGGTACTCAACGAGAATCTTATTTACAGATTGTGTAATGGACTCGCTGCAAGTGTCGAGAATTTCTTTTTCCAGCTTCCACATTAGATTTATTGACTTGAAAATGAGCTCCTCGGGGACTCTGTCAGGTTGGTATGTGCCAAGGAGCTTCAGACAGACCTTGAAGAGGCCTACAATGGCCTTTTCAGCAAATGGGATTGGGGAGAACATCGGAAACTGAGCAACCGCCAGCAGATAATCATTAAAACTCGACCAAAATGCTTGGAATCTATGGACGTTGGCCAAAGAGATGGCAACTATCAAATCCCAGCAGAACCCAACAGCCTCTTCTTCTTCAACAGGTGTGCTAAACTTCTGCCCTTTCCCTGCAGCTGCATATATTAGCGAACGCCCGAGGTTGATCAAAGAGTCCTCAGGAAATTTTGAACTAGTGCTGAAGATGTTCCCAATTCGGCATTGTTTTATAACCTTCAGGTTCTGTTCAAATTCACTCATGCCAAGAGATACAGCATCTTCCGGACTCTCTAGTGATAGAAAATGTGAGAATCGACTAATCATGCCAGAAGCCTGTCGTCCTCCAAATTTGGGATCATGAGCAGGGAAGATTACACCCGATTCAGATGTAGGTTGAGCATCAGCTGAGGTGGAAGCAGCATCAAATTCGAGAACATTTTGGGGAAGTAGTTTAAGCCTCTTGAGTTTCAACAAACAGTCCATAATGTTCCTCCAACCCCCTCTGATTGACTCTCCAAAGTTGTTTGCGATGGTGAAAACAGCGAGTGTGGCCATCCTTGGCTTCAAATCTTTGCTGAAAGCAAAGAGTGTTTCTTCTGCAGAGGCATAAGGATTAAGCAGCGTGGTGAATCTTGAGAAGGTGGCAATGAGCTCATCGAGTGTGTCCTCCAGTCCGTACTGCGCTATCCTGGCTACCGAGAATAATCCTTCAATGCATTCATGGAGCAACTCCTCTTCTTCAGCTTGCTCGAAAAATGCAGAAATGGTAGCGACTGAAGGGCCAGCAATGCAGGCAAACATGTCTCTTCCTAGCCGACGATCAAAATCACACAGAATGAAGGGCTGCACAGTTTTGGAACGGTTCATCAACTCAATCCATCTGCTTGGGTTCATTAGTACTGTCATACCAGATTGACCAAAAAGCGTGATTGCATTGTTCGATATGGATTGGAAAAGCTCAGACAGATACTCTCTAGGAAGATCCTTCCCTCCATTGATTGCTCTATTATTCCTGATGAACTCTTCTTCCGTCATCTTCTTCTTTACTTGCGGATTGTGCTGGTCAGTATTGAGCATAATGAGAGAGTAGCAAAGAATGAATACAGTATCTTTGTTCACGAAAACATCTGCAGACTGCTGCTCAAAAAAACTCTCTGAAAACGCTTCGAGAATCCTCTGAATCTTCTGGGACTCTCCTGGCAAACGGAAAGTCTCCAGATAGGTTCGGAGAGCACTATCGAGATTCATGCCTGAAAATCCAAAGGCTCCTGTGAAGTCTTTAAGTACTTTGATGTGAAACTCATCAGGATCACCAAGATAATCGCCTATCATCGTCTTGTCAAGCCCAGGAGTGTAACGAAAGAAATAAGCCAAAGTCTTTGGATCTGGAGGGTCAGAGACTAAGTTGGAAAGCTTCAAGTACTCCATTCCCTTCTTTTCGTCGCAATTAAAATGGTGTCCGGCAATCAATATTTTCCTCTTCTGCGCTTTCCTCAGCCTTACAAATTGCACCCAAGCTTCTGAATCATCTTTCGCTTTGTCTTCCCAAAACGGCGTATACTCTCTGATCTCAATCGGGTAGGGTCCGGAAGGGCTTGTATCGTTTTCTCTATCAATACTGTCTGCAATGTTGTGGATCATGATAACTAACCCTTCAAAGGCTTGTATCTGTAAAGTTGTCAATGGGCTTGCGACCGGAAAAGACAGCTTGCAAAGCAACTTCCCTATCTCCTCAAACACATTATGGCAAAGCGGATCACAGTCGTAGTTCACATAGACCTCTACGACGAATGTCAGTTGTCTGCAGAAATTTATAATCCCTTCAAGTGCAACCTCTTGAAGTTGAATTGACACTCCGGGAGCTGAAACTCGAAACAGCACAAACGTGAAGAATGCTTCTAACTGAAGACGAATGAACCTGCAAAAACAAAGCAAAGAATTCCCAAATAGTAGTGTGAAAATTAGAACAGGAAATACAGGCATCTTGAAATGAACCCGAAAACCTCACCTCCGAAGAAAGTGATACATGTTCAAAACTGTACTGCAAATCATGGAAAAAACAAGCGGGCTTGAACGCGTGCCATAGTGAACCAAGTGGTGAAAGAGATCATCTTTCATCATCCTCAACAACTTCGAATGCGACCCGATTCCATCCCCGCTCAAATCGATTGCAGAGTTGATCAGAACGAGAGCGAAAAGCTGCACATCCTCGTTGGCAGTTTGCACAGTAGACCCTTGATCTGTCTCAACAACCTGAACCACATTCAACAAAGAACACAAGAAGTGAAAAATATCAACCGCGCACCGGATCCCATATCCGGAATCCATATTCCCATCGTCTGCATCGGCGTCCTCAGTGTCAGTACTGGCCAAGCTCTCGTCATCCCTGAAATCAATTTCCGGCAACCGCGAAAAAATGATCTGGATCAGCTCGTGCATTGTGTACCTCGCACTTCGCATGAGCAAGTCTCCTCTGTTCACCGATTGCTGAACCACCTGAAAACAGGTGTTCACAATTGTGCACACTGACTGATCGGAGAGCAGAACCGAAGCGCGGTGGTTCATGATTCCGGTCAGGACCTGAAGGATGTTCAGCATCACGGCGTCCTCGTTGACAGAATCGGTCCTTTCGAGCCGGCACGTGGTGATGGATGTGACCATGGTGTTAATAGCTTCTTTCGCCCCCGGAGTCTTCTCATCGAAGACTCCGAGCTTGATAATCGTCAGCGTGGCGGAGAGGGCGACGCGCGTGGCAGCGGCGTGGACGTCCTCGCTTTGGATGACATCCAGGAAGGGGGAGAGGTAGATGGAGGGGTCTATTGTGCGCCATTCCTGCTGTGGGTTGAAGATCAGGGCACGGAGGGATTTTAGGGATTGGAGAAGGGAAGGGTCGATGGTGTCTTCGGGGGCGGCGAAGCAGTGGGACGTCGGGTTGAGGGGACGGCGGATGACGGCGAGGACGGCACCGAGTTCGGTGTTTAGCATGCACGACAATCCCAGCTCTTTCCTCCTGAGTTTTGTTTGCTTGTTCCGGCTCGATTTGCCGTTTTCATCACTGATCGGATCTTTCTCCATGCATGGCAGTCTCGGGGAGGAAGGGAGAGAGAAGAACGAACAAGTTTCAAAAAACTGTTAAGTTAGTTGTGTGGTTCTAGTGCTATGGAAGGACCATTTTGGGTTTCTGGTGTCAACTACCGACAGTGTTACATAAAATGCAAGAGTGAAATAGGAGGGTGTTTTGGTCATTTGAAAAAGTTATACAAAACCCGAATTTCCCGGGAAAACAAGAGGTTAGTTTAATTTGTAATTGGCTTAGTTTTTCGTTAATTTGTGGTTTAGGATTGATAATTGATGGTTTCTACCACATTTATCTCCTCCTTTTCTTCCTTTTCCGTTATGGGGACATTTGAGGATGCAATTTAGCAAAATACAAAGCTACGACAGTGATTAATTAGACCCTAAATATAAGGTTACATGATAGAGGCACCGATAATCGGAAATTTTTACACCAGAATTCAGTGGCGAAGCTAGAAATTCATGTTAGGAGGGGCACACTTTAAACTGAAATTCGCATAATACATATAGAAACGTAGCCTCATTCTTTTGGTCACCTTGTGACCAAGGATACATAATCAATTACTCGTGAATTTCATATTAAGGGTGGAGAATAAAACATTAAAAACATATCTATTTATTGCACGTTCTTATTAAATTCAAATGTGAGTGATCATACGTTCATTTGTAAAAACAGCAAGGCATAAGAGAATTTTGAAAGGTTTTATTCACAAAAAAACTTTTTCTCTTCTTGATTTCATAGATGATATAGAGGGAAATAAGAAACTAACAAACATAACAGTCTGCAAGAAAAGGAAAAAATTGCATATAGACAAGAAACAGAGAATATGATCAACTAATATTCTTATGGGATTGTTAAGTGAAAATTATAGGCTTTGTATTTGTTGGATTGATAACAAATTCAAGTTAATAGTGATATTATAAAATTGATCAATGGTAGACAGATTTTAGAGATTGCAAGAAAAAATAATCAGGGTAGCCCTAAGCCTACTGTGGTCTTAAGATGGCTCTGCCATTGCCGGAATCTATATAAGTATTGCGTTTTTTGTCAGTCGCCTGATCGATATGAGCTCTTATGTTCGTGTTGCAAACAAAGAAAGACATCAAAAAAATCTTAGCCATTGTTATTGTCTGGAACATGATCTACTATATCAAGTGTCATAATATAAATGATTAAATTTACAACATTTGAGGTAATATTCACAGTTTCACACTACAAAAATCTATCCATACGACAGGCCGTTTAATCTCGAATTCTGAAAGGTCCTCCAGTCCAATAAAAAGGATAAAGAAAAGATTATCCCCTACGCGACGAAGTGAGAACCTTCCAGCCAAGCACCAATAGTGTACAGCCACGCTGTCAAACAACGGATCATTACGCAGCGATGGACAACCGGATATGAAAAACCGGGTACACATTAACCGCCCCCGGGAATTTTCATTTTCTATCTAAAAAGAACCTTTGAGAACTTTCCAGATTCTCGCCCCACTACAAATTGCGCACCAAACTTCATCGTCCCCGATCATCTTCTCTTCCAAACCCACAAGCAAAAATCCAGAAAATTCTCTCTCTAAAGTCTCTCTCTCTCTCTCTCTCTCTCTCTCTCTCTCTATAGATATCTCTAGATTTCCAACGATGCCGAGCCGAAACCCAGGAGTCATAGCCCAGGACTGGGAGCCGGTGGTCCTCCAGAAGAAGCCCAATAAGGCCAGCGCCCTCCGCGACCCGAAGGCGGTGAACCAGGCGATGCGGTCGGGCGCGCCGGTCCAGACCATCAAGAAATTCGACGGGGGCTCGAACAAGAAGGCGGCGCCGGTGGTCAGCGTGAAGAAGCTCGAGGAGGCGGCCGAGCCGGCGGCGCTGGAGCGGGTCTCGATGGAGGTGCGACAGGCGATACAGAAGGCGCGGCTGGAGAAGAAGATGAGCCAGGCGGAGCTGGCGAAGCGGATCAACGAGCGGCCTCAGGTGGTGCAGGAGTACGAGAACGGGAAGGCGGTGCCGAACCAGGCGGTGCTGGCGAAGATGGAGAGGGTTCTGGGAGTTAAGCTCCGGGGCAAAGTTGGGAAATAGAAAAAGTCCTGTTAGGGTTGTTTTGTGTCGTGAACATGATGTTGTCTGTTGTATGGGGGCGTGTGTATATGGGGTCTGTTTTGGTTGGTGTCCAGAGTTAAGAACTGGGTGTGGTGATCAAAACTATTAGGAATGTACAAAGATGCAAAGGATATGTAGTAGGCTGAAATCGCCAATGGATTTCATGAAATTAATGGAATTTGACGTTTTCGGTGGCAAAATATTATGGTTTTTATTGTTACTGTTGTAGAATTATCTGAAAGACGGCCAGAGGCTCACTTCAGTGATACCGATATTATTTCTAATTTGATAATTACTACCTACATAATCCATCAGAAGTGGTCTCGGTGGTAGTTGGAGTGAGATTAGAATATTTAAACTCTTCTTTTCTCATTAATATAATCGATGTGGGACATTTCAACAACTGTATGATCTGATCAACACTTTTTGGCAATTTCATATCAACTCAAGAATTTGTATTATCGGATGTAATTAGGGTTTGGGATAGAGGGTGAACAGCTATATGTCAAGCTCAAACTTCTGTATATTTTTCATATGATTACCTGATACAATTGGAAACTTCTCACCCAAAAATAGGTGTATTATTATTGCACAAATACAAGGTCTTAGAGCCAGGGGGAGTTATAAATGGGAGTGACAACAGATTTGCTATGGAGATACTCATAGAGGCCCTGCATACCAAATTCTCTTCCAAATCCACTCATCTTATACCCTCCGTAAGGGCAGTCTCGATCGAATGCAAAGTAGCAGTTGATCCAAATAATGCCCGCACGAATTGACCTTGAGACAGTGTTGGCCACATTCAAGTCCTTGGTTATGATCCCTGCTGCTAGGCCGTATCTGGTGTTGTTGGCTCTCTGTATTGCCTCCTCGATTGTCCTGCAACAGTTTCACACGCCATGATTTTGAGCAATGTTCGTGTTGAAGCCTTGAAGGCGAATCAAACAAAAGAAATCAGACTTGTCCTACTTACTTGAACCTCATCAGCGCCATTACGGGTCCAAATATTTCATCTTGGGCTATGAGCATATCATCCTGAGAAAATCGTCATAAGATTAATGAGACGAGAATGATATAATGAAAAAAACACGAAAATAGTGGTATAGATTTGATGTTCCATTTGCATTGATAGAGTTTAATTTGTGAATGTACCTTGACATCAGTGAATATTGTAGGCTCAATGTAATATCCCTTGTTCCCCAAAGGCTTGCCTCCTGTTAATAAAGTGGCTCCTTCATTCTTCCCATGCTCAATGTAGGTTAGGATTTTATCAAACTGCTTTTTATCAACCTGCAATTTTCAGTGAACTTCACAGATAAGAATTTGTAGGTTGTATTTGGGACAAGCACAGGAATTCGCGAGCATATTGTAGGGCATATATGAATCATAAAACTTCGTTGCTGGCGGTAGAATCAGTTACCTGTGGTCCTTGATGAACATTAGGGTCAAAAGGATCCCCGACTACCCAATCTTTTGCCTTCTCTTGTAACTTCTTCACAAATTCATCATAAATCCCTTCTTGAACATAAATACGGGAACTTGCCACACAAATTTCTCCCTGACAATGCAATGATTAACACGTGCTCAGTGCTGCTACATAAATCTATCCAAGTCATAAGCAAGGTGCTAGTTAAAACTAAATTGAATGGAAATTACGAACTTCACCTTGTTGTAAAGGACTCCTAAGAGAGCAAGATCAGCAGCCATATTTATATCAGCATCTTCAAATATCACAAGGGGTGATTTGCCTCCTAGTTCAAGCGAAACTTGTTTCAGATTGCTCTTTGCTGCAGCCTGCATTACTTCACGCCCTACCTCGGTCGAACCAGTAAAACTGACCTAATTTATCAAGAACAAGCGTCAACATTACAAATGGGACAGCAAGACATTCAAGTATTGTCATCGAATTTCGTAACAATTGTTCACATAAAGTATACAACATATGAACGAAAGAACAAGAATTTACTTTGTCAATGCCCATATGATGGCTGATGGCAGCACCAGCAGTCTTTCCAAATCCAGTTATGACATTGAACACTCCGTCAGGAACACCAGCCTTCATAAGAATTTACAAGAGAAAGTGAACAACGCCGAGCCACATTGGCAATAAACACAAACAACTGCAGAGAATGAATGAGCTTACCAACTTAGCCAGATAAGCAAAGTATAATGCTGATAGAGGTGTTTGCTCAGCAGGTTTGATGACCATGGTGCAACCAGCAGCTAAGGCAGGGCTAACCTTTGCGAAAAGCAGGGTGCTCGGGAAATTCCAGGGAACAATGAGCCCCACAACACCAATGGGCTCAAGCATCGTATATGCTTGAAGGTTGCGCGACATTTTGAGCACCTCTCCATGGATTTTGTCAGCTGCACCTGCATAATAACGTACCATTTCTGCTACCTTCGGTATGTCTCTGGTCTTGCCAAAACTGAACAACTTCCCAGCATCAATGGTATCCAAGGTAGCTAGTTCTTCTACATGTTGGTCAATTAAGTCTGCAAACTTCATCATTATCCTTCCCCTCCCCTAAGCATAATTACATTCAAGGCAGTAAACAAATTAGACCTTTCGTAACACATTGATTGATATGGATTTCAGGGTTAATTCCACACTAAGTTGAATTAGTACTAAATGTCAACAAGCTATAATACTGGCACCGTTGGGAACTGACCCTTCAACATTTTCCATCCTTTTCATATCTGGATTTTGGATTGTATTTTATGATTAACTTTTTGTTGTCATACATAATTTAAGTTTTCGTGTTGTGAAGTACTTGAGTTTGACCTTAAAAATTTTCTTACACTTAGTCAACGGAATAATCTTATCAAATAATACACCGAAGATAGTTATGAAAATTATTATTAGAAAATTAATAAAGACCATTGTTAGTCCACGAATCAAAATGTCTTGCATACGCATCAAGATGTGATTGACAGGTAAGTAAGAATGACCGAGCGATGTTCAAAAAATGAACGTAGCTACACGAGTAGAGTGTTGGAGAGTTACATACAGCGCCAGGCAAGCGAGGCCAAGTTCCATGGTCGAAGGCAGCACGTGCCGCCTTGACAGCCAAGTCAACATCTTCCTTATCTCCTTCTGCAACTCTTGTTATCACCTCCCCTGTTCTTGGATCGATTGTCTCAAATGTTTTACCTTCCAAATTTTTATCGGGGTTCACAAAAAACAAAAAAATTGCAAAAATGAGTCACTTAATCATATTTATATATCTTCATAAATATGGCATTTACAAGCTTAAAAAATAATGGGATCTTGAATTTTGAGAGTTTGCAAATTTGGTTGAGGCAAAAACACAAACAGTACGTAGTCACGGTAAAAAGGGGCAGTAAAGAAACGCTTTTTACTAAACGAAAGCTCGTAGATTGCGAGAAGAAGGGAAACAATAGCGACAAACCTGAAACGGAATCGACGAAACCTCCATTGATAAACAGCTGGGTAAACTTTATTGCTGGAATCTTGACGAAGGAAGCTGAGCTGCCGTTGAAATCACTCCCCATGGTTGCCGTTTCCTCTGCTCTTCTCTGTTTGTTTGTGTGGAAAAAAAATAAATAAAGAGATTTTGTTGTGTTGTGTTGTGTTGTGTTGTTTGATTCGTGTATGGAATCTGGGATTGTACAGTTTTAGTCACTTTTTTTTTTTTTTAAATTTTTCATACATTTTTGTTAATTTTTTAGTATTGATTTTTTTCAATCTATTCGACCTATCAGTCGAAAATTAAGAAGAATACATGAGAAGTAAAAATGATTTTATGGACAGCTAGTATTGGGAGGATGAGAAATTATTTATGTTCAGTCTCCTTAATTGATGATGATACTTATAACTCTATCGATGAGTTTGATTTAATCTATTTATTACACAAATCTCAAAACTTAAATAATCGAACGATAATAAATATAGTAATGAGCATCATCAGTATTTTGGAAGTGCATTTTTGCTCATCACCATTTAGTGTGGTGTATACTCACCATCCTACTTATCATCATTAGATGAGTTTGAATTTTGAGATTTTTGCTCATTCACTACACGAATCTCGAAATTCAAACTCATCTAATGATGATAAATAAGATGATAAGTATATATCACATTAAATAATGATGAAAAAAAATGCTTCCATATTTTGAAGGAAATTTTTTTCAATAAATCTGGAGCACGAGAGTGGTGAGCAAAATTACCCTAGCAGATGAGTATGATTGTTATGGGGTGGGTTCAACTTCGGGGATCTTCCAATTTCCAACAAGGACTGGGCATTTACCCATTCAGACCTCGAAAAATTTCCTTATCGGACCAGATTTTGCTACTCAACTGCTGAGCAAGGCATAGTGGTTTGGGGCTGCATTGGACAGCATCAGTGTGCGCGCCATTAGTTGTTGAAGTTTTGGATGTTGAAATCTGATTTGATTAGGTTAATTGATGTGTACAAGTTTTAAATATAATTCATTTGGACGTGCTTTCAAAATAACTGAAAGAGCTTTTAGAGAAAATATTTTTTGAAAGCACTTTAAGTGTTTTTTCAAAATTTACTTCCATTGTTACTAAGAATTGATTTCAAAAATATTTTTACAAAAAACGTTTTCAATCATTTTAAAAGTACATCCAAACGAGCTTTTAATAGACTAATGCTCTCGTAGTTTGACTGTTCCGCTCGTATTGATAACGAAACTATAATCCAATGTTTCCTTTCAATAAAAACTCGATGTGGGCAACTAGCGTGTAAATTATAATTATTTTTACAAATGAATAATAATAATTTCATGAAATAAATTTACATTTTTTTATAAAAAGAAAAAAGTCATGAACTCAATTAATTGGATAGGTTGTGACCTATTTTTGTTAACTGTCCCATGAATTTGGGCATGATTGGTGGGCTGATAGAGATAGGTTGTGACTAATTAAAATGGATTTGAGTACATTCTTTGTTTGTTATGTCAAAATGTTAGAGGACATGATTAGACATGATGAGTTATGATCATAATATAGTGAGTTATCTAACATATCTTTATACATAAATTACAAGTCTTATTTTACACGTCCCTACCAATCCAATTATATCCCTAAGGCTCAATCTCATCTAACTCACTAAATGGGTCATTTCTCTTTAGTTTATAATTAGTCATGACAATCCATGATATCGTCACTAATATGATGTGTATTATTCTCCACTTATAAGTAATTTTAAGTTCA